CCCCCGCCCCGATAAAATAAATACTTTCCACAAGATTTTTCTTGCAAGTTTTCTCTATGTAGTTATTTTGCATTCAACATATGCTCCTTACGTTTACTATCTCTCATATGAATCATACTACAAACGACACTGAAGCTGAGAGCATCAGTGGGGTAGACTCTCAGTTGATGCTGGAAGTGAACTGTGATCCACACTTACGTATAAGTAAGTAGTGACATACACCTACTGTATGTGTAGTTTTTCCAGTTTCAGCATTTTAGCGGGCCTCCAGCAGGAGCTGTAGAGCGTGGTTCCTGGAGAGACTGCCCTGTGAAAGAAAAAAACAACGCCACAGCACAGGGACCCTTTTTTCCCCCTCTTGTTTTCTCTCCTCTCTTCTCTCGTTTCTCTCCCCTTGTGTTACAGTATTCTAGACTCCTATGTTGGATTTGCAAATATATATTTATATGCTCACAAACTCTTTGCCTTCTTCAACCACCGAAATGCTTGCGGTGGTTGAAGCCAAGCCCAATAAACGGCAAGTTAACCATATTTGTACAAAAAGCATTTGTTTGGTCTTGATCTCTAAAATGAAGATCTGACCAAAAAGTGGAACTGTTGGCTAAAGAATAAGCTCTTGAGCATGAGACGAGTCACTGGGGTTTCCACCTGCCCTTCTACACCTGAGCGTACAGCAGAGGGGAGCCCAGGCGAAGTCACAGGTACACAGGAGAGCTTGTGAGCAGCGATTTCCAGGAGTACTTCCCCATTTCCCCTGCCTTAGGTAAACGCTGGATTTGCAGCTCAGTCGATTGAAGAGGGCAGTTGTGCTCTGTGAGCAGCGTCCCACATGTTGGTGGCACTTTTCTTTCCCACACCACCATCCTGCACCTTTGATCTGATTCAGCAAAGTGTTTTAAAACATGGGTTAGGCTAGAGCGTGTGGGTAATCCTGCTGAGGTACAGAGATTGCTGTCATGCTTTTAGTGCTGTGCTGAATCAGCATTGGTGAAGAGATCTATTGAATGTCGTTGCCCTTGTGGTTTTTGTAACAGGAGTATCACTTGTATTTGAAGGCAAGATCGTGCCGTCTGCGATTTGTTGTGTTTCTGCTTATATTAATTCTCTCATTGTAAAAAATATACCAAAACCAAACCCAACCTTTTGGTTCCTGTTTGGTAGCTGCATCAGTTTTTCTAAACCCCAGATTCTCCACTTGCTGCTTCCATTCCTGAGTATAATCTTAACAATGAAAGAATTGCGTTAATTGTGCTCTCGTTGTTGAGTTTCCCATTTATCTTGAGTCAGTGAGATTTGTTGTATTTCTTGGTCTGGGTATCATGGCTCTCACTAACTGTAGATACGAAAACTTTTCCATTTGACCTGAATAGCTATCCCCTACCTACTGAGCATCGTCACGCAAGGACGCATTCTGCTCTTGAACAGTCCTAACAAAGCGTAGTTTTGTTCAGTTACCTAAATGAAGTCATTATGTCACTTGGTATCTTTGAAGTATTGGCTACTCCATGCTTTTTGTGCAGTGGGTACGCATTCAGGTAGCCTAGTGTGGCTTCAGCGCTCTTGGCTAGTAAGAAGAGAAGCAGCTCACTGCTCACTGAAAAGCAAGTTTCTCTTCTAGATAAGTGAACATACATTTTTGGAGTACCAATCTTTTTCTTTTTTCTATTTTTTTTTTAAACAAAAACCTTTCCACTTGTGAAGACTATTGCTACAGAAGTTCCTTACAGGACAATTACTCGTCTGTGTGTATTGTGTGACCTCTCAGGAAGATCCGTTGGCATCAGTGGGAGGATGTCATAGCTATGATACCTTAAGATCACTGTCAGGGCAGGATTTGTGGGCAGAACTCTCTTGTTAGATCAGCTGAAAAGGCTGGGAAAACTGGACACAGAAGGGTTTGGTGCCTGCTCTCTAGGATTTCTTTTTACCCCTTTTTCCACAAAGTCAAACAAATCCCATGTGGTTTTGTGCTGAAACAGTAGTTGTTAAAGGCCCAGAAACTCTCAAAGTACGTGTTTCAGGAAATAACGATGTTACGGAAATTAGTGAGGACCAGCTGATATTTCCAGCATCATCAGCGCTTTGCATGACAACGTGTATAATGAGCTTTGCATGTATGTTTTGTTGCTCGTTAATAATTTTCAAAAAGTAACAAAACTCTCAAGTTAGGTTTTGTGCAACATGTTTGTTTATCCTGTATCTCCCCAGTTTATTAATTTGTTTCTTTAAATTCAAATGGATACGATGATATGCAGATTCTGGCATGTGCTACCTAGGTAAACTTTTTGCTTTGTTTCCACAGTTGTAACATCTGAAATGTTTATACGTATATAAAGTCTTAGTCAAGTACAGAACTGAAATTTGCTTTTTAAGAACCACTTCTTACAGTAGTCTAATACTTGAAATTAATTTAAACTTCTTTAGGCAACTACAATAATCTGTTCTTTAGGTGATTTCTGGTTGTATTTGGTTTTCTTTTAGAGAATCAACATTAAAAAAAGAAATCGATGAAGAGAGAGCATCTTTACAAAAATCCATCAGTGTTACTAGTGCCTTGATCACACAAAAAGATGAGGAACTGGAAAAACTCAGAAATGAGGTAAATGAAGAGCAGTGGGATGCTGCTTAATTTCAGATTAACTCACGGCTAGAAGCATAGGGCTTTGTATGTTTGCTACTGAAGACTCGGCTAATTCTTTTTCTTCGTTCATTTAGCATAGTTAAACCTTCGAATTAAATCTTCAGATATCTGTGCCTACCGAGGTGACTTCTGGCGTGTATTTTTGGTGGCTATTTAGCCCTTATCGCTAAGGATGTTGCCTTGGTGCTCTGACTTCATTCTGGAAGGTCTAAGCATTCTTAAATACTTCTTACAGATCACAGTGCTCCGTGGAGAAAACGCTTCTGCAAAAACCTTGCAGTCGGTGGTTAAGTCACTGGAGTCTGATAAGTTGAAACTTGAGGAAAAGGTGAAGAACTTGGAGCAAAAACTCAAGGAAAACAACGAACAGCCTGTAACTGTAACTGGCTCCTCAGGTAAAAGAGAATGCCTCTCTGCCCTGAGCTTTAATCTTACAGAATTCTGCCACTATTAACCAGACAGTTAAAGGAGGTTGAACTAACGGAACCTCCAGAGACCTGTGACTTTCCTGGTGTAGGACACAGGTCAGACTTGAAATGAAACATGTGCATAAGCCGTAAAGCTTGATCCTGGTCGTGCTGTGGCTTCTGTGCAAGAGCCTCTCTCAGACTGATTTCGGTTTTCCTTGCTGTAGCCACAAAGTAGCATAACAAAACTACCTACTTGAGCACAGAACTGGGAATCCTGTTTTCTAGACACTCATGCTGACCTTATGCTGAGCTTCTTAAGCTTTGTACCCCTATAGTCTTGTCACTGCAACAGAGGAGCATTCCCTTGCAGATTTATGAACTTCAGCTGTTACTCATACATACGGTTTTTTGTATTTTAATAAGGTATGTGCAATATTGAATATGTTTCTGTAATGCAGTTGTGAAAAAATTCCCCCCAGAAGTCACCCTGGCTGAAGATTATACTGGGTGATTAGAAAGCAGGAGAATAAGATGTTCTGGAGACTGGAGGCTTCTGTGTTGTTGCAGTCTCTGCCTAAGCCCTTGTACGTTTCATAATTTAGATCACTGGATACTTATACTTTGGTTTCTTTTTTTGTTTTTAAGGTGACATTGCTGCTAATCTACTTCAAGATGAAATTGCAAAAGAGAAGCAGGTATTTGATCTGAAACATCAGCATGCTAAACGAGCAGTGTGTCCGTAGGCAGAATGAAATACTTTTCCAAAGACAGTTCCTATCAGATTTTGTAGATCAGGATTATAACGGGCAGATTTATCTTGTAACCGCCTGTTTCTGAAGGGAAATATTACTGACAGAAATATTAAGAATCAAGTGCTGAGTGATACTGGAGAAATAGTTCAGGATATTGGAGCATGAGGGAGCAAGCAGGAAAGTGGAGGTGGCAAGTTCTGACCTGCAGCCTGTTGGTGAGGTACAGCCCAGCAGAGCATGCTCATAAACTGCTCCGTGCTTTTCTTTCCAGAGGTTTCTTGGATGCAAACGAGGAATAAAGTGTGGCCCACCCAAATCTGTGCTGCTTGCCATCATGGGGAAAGGGGCTGCCTGAGCTCACGTGCTGCTCCTAAGCTGCTGCAGTTGGAAATGTTGATCTTTGCCGCTTCGTAACCGCGGAACTTTACTCAGAACAAGGGTTGGCAGCAATGGGGCAAGGAAGTTACTCAGCACGTGCTTGGTAACAGATTTAGGAAAAACTGCATCAGTATGATAATCGCAACGAACGTGTGAAGCGCTGCCGTGCAACAGGCAGCCTGTGACAACAAATGCCTAGGAAACATGGTTAGAATAGAAGCACCTTCTGCACATTGTAAAAGTCCTTGTTAGATCACTGATGTCAGTCGCGTTGATTAAAAGAAGTCCTTCCTAGTCTGTACAGAGATCAGAGGTCATGTAATTAACATAACCACTGATTTTCTTCTGTTTTTTCTGTCTCCTTGAATTCACCTGCTGATGGCAACACTTCCTTCCAATCAGCACGAGGTTTGTTCCGCTTCTTGGCTTCCTTTCTTTTATTTGCTATGTTAATTTGCCAAGCGTTACTTGATTACACTCAGCAGTGCTGCTGCAGTGCTGGCCTACTGATCTCTGTGGCTCAAACTAGCTCTGGGAGATGCCGTCCGGGTGCCCTGCACTGTCCCGCTACCCCTCCAGGGTGACTCTGAGAGCATCCTCTAGAGCTGCAGCCTCAGAGGAACAGGGACGCTGTTCTGATCAGAATTACACAACTGGATTTATGTTCAAAATGTAACATTAGGAAAAGAACTCGATCTGTTAGTGGTGGGTTGAGACTCACCGACGTCTCAGGCGTGTTGGCTGGGCAGAACTAGACAGAAATTGCACCGAGGGGCTCAGAGGCCCTTTGGGATGTTCCTATCCCTTGTTCTCTGTGTCCATGGGCGCTCTCTGTGCCACAGCGATCCAGTGGCAAGCGTTAGTGCAGATCCGCACGTGTCATTTTGAGGGCTATTCCTTTGTTGCTTGTTTTCCCTGAAGTTCTCAACCTGCTGACTGTCCTTATTCTTGACTGTCATAGATTGACTTCCTGAATTCAGTGATAGTAGATCTGCAAAGAAGAAACGAAGAATTAAACTTGAAAATACAAAGAATGTGTGAAGCAGCCCTCAATGGCAATGAAGAGGAGATAAATAACTATGACAGGTATAAATCCTGAAGGAAACTTTTGGCTTGTGTTTTAGGGACTGCTGGTAGCAGTCAGTTCTGTCAGCTGCGTGACGCAACGGCCCCATTTCAGCTGTCAGGAAGGGCAAAGGCAGCTTTCCCTTGAATTTAGGGTGATAGAATCCAAGCCTTCTTTTTAGGTCCGTTACTGCAGTATATCTGGTGGTGCAAAATGGTCCTCTGTAGTTACAGATCACAAACATTGATGTATCATAACATATTTGTTGTCAGACTTTCCAAATGAAGTAGACGAGTCTTTGCTCTTCAGAGGCTGGTAGTTGCATTGAGATGTGGAGATCCAGTCCAGAGACCTAGAACTAAAACTTGTTTGATCTCTTCTCTCCAGGGAAAAGAGAAACTAGTTTACATGTGTTTCTTTTTTAAATAATGTCTGTATTTGTGCAAATATTTACACAGAGCAGTTTGTTTAGTAAGCATTACAGTATAAAGGATTATGGGGGTGCTCCAAGGTAGTCAAGATGTTGGCAGATCTTCAGAAGGGGTTTTGTAATATTATTTTTTATTATATTTTTGTTGACCACCCTGGTGTTTCCTCAGTTCCAGTAATTATGAGACAGGTTATCGTGCAGGGCAGGGAAGCGGGCTCTTTCTCCTTTACGAAGGAGAAGTGCCCTGCTTGACTTGTGCCGGTGCTGATCTTGCAGTGAGGAAGAAAGCCTGTCAAAGAAGAAACCTCGTCTCTTCTGTGACATCTGTGGCTGCTTCGACCTTCACGACACTGAAGACTGTCCGACCCAGGCACAGATGCTGGAGGAGCCGCCCCACTCAGCCTACCACGGCAGCAGGAGAGAGGAACGTCCCTACTGTGATACCTGCGAGATGTTCGGGCACTGGACGGCCGACTGCAATGACGACGAGACCTTCTAACGCAACACGCAGCTGGGAGGATAGACTGACTGCCTGCCCTCGTCGGACGATTTATACCACCAGCATTTGTGTGTGCTTGAATGTCAGGAAAAGGGACAGTGTTTCTTGACCCCCCTCGCTCCCATTCCCCTTGCCCATCCACTCCAGAATCAGTAATTCGATAAATATTTTGCTCCTCTGCTAATAAATACCCTATCTCCCGTAATAAACTTAAGTGAAATATAAATAAATGATTTAACAAATGACTTTATGCTATTTCTTCCCAGGTTCTGGGTTTGTCCCAGCTCTTAACAAGAAATGTCCCCCGTGCTGTTGCATCTATTGATGGGAAAACGTGTATAGGAACGAAGCACTATAGTTATATTAAAGCTTATTTAAATACCTTAAAATTATGCTGTTAATTTTCATATTTGCACTAAACCGTTTTAAGGCTGAATTTGTACATTTAGATTTTTAAGGGTTTTTTTGACACTGGACTGAGTTGAGAAATATTTCCTTTTTATCTTCATTTACTCCTTTGATTGTGATTTTGCTCAGTGAACGTGAGCTCGGGGTTGCGGTTTGCTGACAGCGTGAAACATGAAATCGTGAAGCAGGTAAGAAACGGAGCTGCTGCGGCCGTTTTGAGACACACCTAAACCAGGTTCTGGGACATCCTTTTTTGTTGTTTTCTTTGGGTTTTTTCCCTTTTTTTTTTTTTTTTTTTGCCTTCTTTCAGCTTCTATATAGCGTGTGCGTGGTGTGTGTGTGTGTATATATGCATATATATATATTAAAGTTATATTTTGGAAAAATAAAAAGTTGTGTTTTGTATCTTACTGTTCTGTGAGGGGACAAACGTGCCCTGGAGATAAACAGACAGACGTT